CTAGGGCATATCGCGATATGCACTGAATCCGGAAATGCACTACAACAGTATCTCCACCCTGCACAATCTCAAGGTGTGTCAAAGTGTTGCGGACGGACTTGAGTGATGAAACCAGGTAATCTACGCAATCAGCCGAAAATACTTATAGAAGGCATGACGATGAATAAAAAAGCCCATAAAAGAATGAAATCAACTCACTTCCAATGGTTAAATCCTTCAACGAGCAAAGGTCATTATTGCGGAATAAATCACAAAGCCATGTTCCTTCAGTGAAAGATGAAATCACCAATGTCGTGATATGGCGAGCAAGCGGAATGTAGCCTGAAACGTCGTCGAGCTCATGGAGCCTGATACGTAACCCATTAAAGGATTGAATGATACGATTACGCCATTCATGTGATACATGCATAGAGGGGGTTGGCTTCAATGACTCCCAGCGTTGTAAGTACATAAACATGGGAATGAGCGTCGTGATCACAATATCCATAGGAAGCTGGCCGATAAAGTCGATGCATTTATTCTGGCGTTGCTCGGCATCCATTTTGGCTCGTTGCAAGGAGGCATAACCATGATCGTTGGTATCGACAAGATCGAGTCCCTTGATGCATACGTCAATCGCTTGTTGCTGTTTTCCTTGTTCACTATAAATGTCGGCTTCGCGTACATATCCAAGTGCTAAAGAAGGCGACAGCTGTTGCATAGCTTTGGCATCGTGAAGAGCTGATTCGAAGTTGGCAAGCTTTGTCAATGCCATGGCGCGCCGATCCAGAGTTGACAAGATGGAGTGAATGGGTTCATGGAGTTGAGTGGTTGAATCGTCCACAATCGTTGCATATTTTTCAGTGGACACAGGCTGAGTGGGTTGGTTGCATAAAGCGTGCCAAATGGAATCTGCCATTGTTGGTTGACTGAGGAGGAAGGAAGGAAGAGGTCTTGTCCCACCCAAGCATCAAATCTATTGGTTCAAGTGCGTCCAGTCATACAAAGCGGCTTTATTTTCCTCCTTTGCAACAACAGCTCCCTTTCGATACTTTACCACTTTTTCTAAAGCTTTACTTTTGCTCCTTGTCGACATTGCTGGTTCCCATCTTCCAACACAATTGGTGCCAGCCAACATTCGTCTCCTTGGTTACGCGCCATCTCTGCAACAACAACTTGTGGTGGGTCGCCGCTCGCTTGGACTCTTTCAGGCTTCCTCTTTTACACCACTCTAAACAAGGCATACCTTTGACAGATCTCTACAGTCAGAACCAAACGTCAACAATCGTCACCACACTAATCTTGCTCACGACCTTCGTGTTAATCGCGTAGAGCTTGGCCAGCCCAAAGGTATCCAACTCCACCATATAAACTTGGTTTCAACTAAGGCTTCTTTCATGCATGTGTATACACTCTTTGCCATGGCTACCAGCATTGGTATGTTGAATAGGATGGGTAACAAGGTTGGCATGCTTCAAAAAGGTTTTATTTGTTTCAGGTTGCTGATCATCGTCATCATCATCAACCCAGGTCATACGTCACGACATTCTCTTAAGGTGCGATTCACTTCCAAATACTGTTGTTCGATCATACATATCGGCGGTGAAGTATGGATTCATGGGTGTGATCCTTTTAGGGTGGAAGAGATGCTGATGGCAATACACGTGTTCAAGGAGGATCAAGATTGGTTTGTACGTATCCGGGTATCTATACACGTTAGGTGATGGCAAAATGGATATGGTAAGAGCACATGGATTAGTGATTAGGGTGGATGCTTTGTATTATCGTTTCCCTGGTTGTAGTAGTATAGTCTTTCAATCTTTGGAAATAAAAATGGCTCATCATTTAATAGAAGACAGCGCTCAGGATTTAAAAGAAGGGGTGTATATACATGTTGAATCATGCACAACCCAATGTAGATCCTTCCTGAGCCTACATCTCACGCAATAAAAACATCAAGACAGCTGTGAGTGTACACGTGTGCTAGACCACGAGCATCACTGTTTTCTTCCGTCAAATGATGGCAATGCACTCATGGATCATAACACTAGTATAATGATCGAACATACTTACCATATTACCCTTCTTCGATCTTCCTAATTAATGTACAGTATCATGAACCTCATAAAACATAATCACTTCTTTCCCTTTAAAAGCGATCTTTATAGCACTCATTCAGGGTCAGAGCCATGACGATAATCTCCTTGATCTTGATAAAGAATGAATGCATCCTCATGCTATATATCATACAAATCTTGATTTCTTGTAGCAACGATCTTTTGTGAGGAGGCGTGGAGCCAACGCTTTTACTCTGCATCTGAAAATGCCAACATGCATCATCTAAGCCGGTGATGGTGATAGGCAGTTGTTGTTACACAAGTACGTTACACTTGCCTTCGTCCATCATCACCTGCTCCCATTACTAGTTCTCGTGCTGTTTCTGTTGTAGTGCATTTCGGGACCCGTGCATATCGCGATATCCCTAGTGCATTTCGGGATTCCAAAACACTCTAGTGCATTTCTGGACTATAGGCAGCCGTTGTTGATTGTGCCCTGC